TTTTTTTTTGTGAAGAAAACAAAAATAAAAATTAATTAATTAATTATTTTATAAATGTAAAAAACACATTTGTTATGCTTGGAAAATATACTTTTTAAGCATAAAAGTTATAAAACGTTATTTTTATACTTAAAATATATAGAATTTTTATCTGAAAGAACTTGTATTGTTTATGTTACTAGAAGCAATATCAGTTCTTTAGATAAATACAAATATCAAATATATTTAATGATAATGTAACCTGAATTGATTACTTACAATTTAGTTTTTTCTTACATTTAATAAAAACTTACTTTCATTTATATAGAAAAATATAATAAAAATTACCAAACAATGGGCAACTCTATGATGTAGACATGTCTACAAACTTTTAATCAATAATTGAAATATATTTATATTTTTAACATTTAGATAGAATTCAATAGTAAACAAACATCAAGTTTGAGTAAAGAAACTTAACCTTTTGCCAAACTCTAATATCTATCTTATTTTACCTTACATTATACAGTAGACCTTACCATTATAGTATATACCTTACACTATCTTATATAAGCAATTAATTATAGCATTCTTGCTAAGAAATGACACTTTCAGAGCTAAAAAATAAATGATTTTAACAACTTTCTACTAAATTAATATTATATTTTAAATTTAAAAATGTATATTTAATTGCTATAATTAATTTTTATATAAAATATTTTGAGGTAAAGTAAATGAGTATGTTTCATCAACTAAGTAATACTGTTTAAGCTTAAAATATAACAATTATTTAATGAATGACTCTTCGTACCAAATATTTTTAATTTTAAAAATGTATTTTTTTAGTAAAACACACAAAAATGTGATAATTAATTACCTATGTAAAAATAATTTAATACATGTAAGGTAAATACCATACTTAGATATATTAAGCTTAACATAAAACAATAATTCATTGAAGAAATTTCTACTAATTGCATTATTTCAGTTCCAAAAATCTTATTTTTTAAGCAATATATACAAAAAATGCAATAATTAATTATCAATGTGACAATAAAGCAAGGTAAGTACTTACAGTAGATTACGCACGCTAACTAATAACATTTAAGCTTAAAATATGACACTTATTTAATGAATAAGTTTACTAAATGTGTTTTTTCAAACTCCACAACATATATTTAAGGAAAATAAACAAAATAATGCAATAATTAATTATTTACAGAAGAACCATATAAGGTAAAGTTAAGATAAATGCATAACTAACAAATAACATTAAGCTTAACATATAACAATAATTTAGCGAATAACTTCTACTAAACATAGTATATTACTTCAAAAAAAATCTATAGTTTTAAAGAAAAATATAGGGAAAATAGCCTTAATTAATTACTAAGTAAGAAGAATAATTTAATGTAAAGTAAGGTAAGTACTTACGTTTCATACGATGACTAGTAACTCAGTGACTCGTTACTATCCAATATTGGTGTATGTCGATGAAAGTGGTGTCACCTAGGTGACCGGTCGTCAACGATCGTTGCGCCAACCCCACAACATAAAATAATTGTTCTTCATTAAACATATCACTCATACATTAAGCTATAAATACCAATTTTTCCCATACCTAGAAAGCTAAGAACGTATATCAACTATAGAAACCTATATCAAATACTTAAGCTTGTATAGAAACCTACATCTACTGTACAGTACATCTAGAAATGTGTACTTATTGTTTGGTTTATACTAAAATTCAAGGAGGAAATTAATGTTTTTTTTTATATATATAAAACTTTATAGTTAAGCTCTTATATTTTCGATTTATTTATATTATAGATTTTTTTTTATTTTTTATTTTTATTTTTAAAGTAGAAAGAGAAAGGGGGAGAAAATAATAATAAATTGTTTAATGGTAAACTTGAGCTTTACACGAAAATTCCATTATGAATAGACACTTCTATAAATGGAAAATTCGGTAAAGGATAAATGTAAGGTACATAAGCCTTGATGGTTCCAGTTGTATAACTTGATATATATATAAAAAAGGAAGAAAATAATAATAATACCCTCTTTGGTAATGGAATTGGAGAAATGATAAAGGTGGAAATAATGATTTTTTTTTGATAAATTATCAATAATAAAATAATAATTTAACCTTTAAAGCATAATTTTATATCTTTTAATATCGATTTAAAACGAAAATATAATTTAAAAGTCGTAAAAAAATATCAAAAATGTTTGAAGAAATTCGTGTAACATTAGTGAAAATGTGTTTTAAAAAATATACAATTTACGCTCTTTAAAAATGAAATATTTATAAATATAAAATAAAAAAATGATAAATTTTTGAAAAACTGAGATGTAAACATTTTTATTTATATAAATATAGAAATTAAATTAAAATAAATTAATCAAAAATAAAGTGAAGCAACTCTCTAAAGAATCCTTTCGTACATGTTATTAATTTAGTGTATATGATACAATTAATGAATAATTAGTTAAGTTTCGATTTAACTAATTATTCAATAATTATATTATGATAGATGGATTCTTTCCTACATTACTACAAGCATTTATACTTAAAATAGCGATTATTTATCGATTTATCGTGATTTTAATCACATAAACTTCACATTTTAACTCCTATAAACGTCGTTAAAAGACTGAAAATAACTCTAAAATAACTTAAAAATAAACAATTTTCAATTAAGAAAAAGCACACGCAATTAATTTATTTATCAAATTTGCATGTTTGAATTAATTAAAAAATTTTTTTAAAATTTAATTTTAATATTTCGAGAATTAAATAGAAAAATCTTATTTTTAATGTTGGAATTTTACAGATGTTATAACACTGATGTTTCGAAAGATGGAAACTATTTTATTTTAATAGAAAATAATTAAATGAATTGTGAATAGTCAAGTAGTAACGCAATCAAGTTAGTAATGAAAGTGTGGGATACAAACCACTTGCTTTTCATGCTGACATTCCTACTAACAGTAAGGTAAATTAACGTTTGGACAGATTTCATTTTCTCAATTAATTAACTAGAACCATATTTGAATAAGAATAAATGTGTTTCGGGTTCTATTTTCTCTTTATTTGTATTCTTAGTAAAGATGAAATGGGAATTCTTGTTATTCTGAAAGTCCCTAGTTGAATATTTCCTTAGTAAATAAAGTTAAGTAGATCGTAAACGTGGAAGAATATTGAATACAGGTTGAAAGAAAATTAATCAAAATATTTCGAATTAATGAATTGATCCACATTTTTGCCAGCTTTTCTTATATTTGTACGTATTGTTTTTTTTTTAAATATTTATTTTGTCAAAGTCGATATCTTCTTTAATAAAAGTTTATATCTGTCGGAAAAAGTGCATTGAATATGTCGAAAAAATTGATCAGAATATTTTGAACTAATGTATTTATTCATGTATTTGGTAAATTTTCTTACATATATATTATGGATTATTCTTTTTATGTTTATTTTGATATAAAATTAGGATCTACCATAATGAAATTAAATACTCGAAAAAATTTATCAGAATATTTGAATGATTTTTTTAAGGTATTTTGCTTTATTTTTTCTGTATATTTTTTGGATTTTTGTCGAAATTTGAATCTGTGATAAGGAAATATATTCATATATTAAAAAATAAATAAATAATGCTTTTAATTAATAGATTTATTCAGATAGTTGACTGTTTTATTTATATATGTATTTGGATTCTTATCCTTTTTCTATATATTTATTTTGTTGAAGTTTGGATCTGCTATGTTGAAAGTTCGAATCGATCAATCACAAGTTCGTGTCCGATCATTGTACTAGTTCAATGGTTCCTGAATCCTTCGACAAACAGGACAATGTTGTTTCCTGTCTCTAATGCAAAAAGAACAACAAGAATTTACTTAAACGTGTTATTTTTCTTCAATTTAATCCATAAACTCACCAATATAAACAAGACATTCTTTTTATAGTATGCTTCTTTGACGTTGTAAACGTATATCTTGTTATATCGTATTGAATTTCATTAATTATTAAAATTTGTAGATATATAATTAAATTATATTATCTAATGGGAAGCGTAATTTCAATATAATATTATGAATTTTTAAAATTTAATAATCTCTTCTAGCGATTCAACCTACCTCGATACTGCAGATATTGGTACCATCCACGTTGCTATTGGATGGTTTTGTACACGTGACAGGCAACCAAGGTCTGCAGCTGAGTCAGGGTGTATGTTGTTGATGTGTTGTCCAAGCATTTTTTCACTTTTAAGTTGTTTTACTGTGGAAATCTAATAGATGACAGTCACATGTAAGATTTTTTAAGCAAGATGTCGATGAATCGATGGCGATAATTCCATAATATTCCATGGAAGTTAAATAATTCGAGAGGGTTTTGTTCGGTGTAGTATCTGATACAGACATCGAAACTGGATCCGCAAAATCGCTTGAATGGTCAAATTAAATCATGCAAGAGGATGAAAAAACGTAAAGAACTCGACGCTTTGGTCAATAATGGTAAATTAGGAAAGAGAAATAAACTAACTACAGCCATTGGACACGAATTACTACGACACGAAACTGATTCTTCTGATATGGAAGATTTCTCTATACTCCAGCCAAGAAAGAGACCTAAAAAGTAAGTAATAAACCTAAATTTCTTTACTCTAAAATCTAAATTCAATTAATGCAATCCGAATTTAAATGATAAGCCTTAACACCTTCATCGTAATACTATCTAAATTAAGGATGGATGATTAATTTAACGACCCCTTTACTTCAGTAAAGATGCTTTTCACTTGTTTATATCAATGAAGAAACTTGACATTTCCATTTTAGAAGAAACAGAAACAGTTTTATTACACGGAGTGTCTCTGGACATTCGATTCTCTATTCTTTGCAGTACCCGAGAGATTCGAGAACCTGGAAGAAAAGAAATGCATTTTTAGAACTTCTAAACTAAGAAACAAACGATATATCTAACCATATAGAATTTCAAACTTATTTTTAAATAATCGATGAAAGTTATAGAACCGTAAGGGAATATATTATTATATTTATTAAAGAATCAAATTTGTTTTAGGTTTAATTAATTTGGAAAAGTAATGCTTTTGACAGGTTTCATTTATAATATTGTTGACAACTGGAAGGAGCAATCAATTAGTTCTTATTAAAGATATATATATTCTCTTGGAATCATAAGTTATTCTTCGAGTCTGTGACCGAGCTGATAGGTATGAGATATTTGACAATCTTAAATCGATTCTTTGTCTCGAGACTCATTCAAATAATGAGATCTCTTCAGTTTTCTCAATTGCTCTCCTATCACAATATACGAGTTTGATGCTTCACAGCTTAAATGGAAAAAAGCTTAGCAATTTATTCGATTAAAACTAAAAGTACTAATTCGTATTCTTGAAAATAATATTTTTTTCCTACATTCCAGTAATTTCATTAAACTATTTTTTCTTGATCTTATCCTAATTTTCAAAATATCTATATTTTAATTTAAAAAAAATAGAATTTTAAAGATAGTTATTTTTTATAGTGAATATGTTCGCTTATACAATGTTAAAAATGACTAACATTCAAATTCCATTTTGGCAAAATGTCAGCATCAAGATATAGGGAGAAGAGTTTCTGACTTTCAAATTGCTGAATTTAAAATCATTTTTCTTTGATTTTTTTTTTTCCCTATGAAATTTCTGAAGTGTAGAACATAAAAACTTTAAAAAGAAGTTAAATGTGTACAAAAGTTGATAAACGTGTATCATTATTGATAAAAAATAAAAAAAATTCTTGCCATAAGAAACGTACAGTGGAAAGTCCAATATGATAAGAAGCATTTAACATTTCAAACATTTATTGATTTACATCATATAAATGTGTATATTTATTAATTTAAACTAATTAATTTTTTATATAAATTCACGCATATTATACTTAGTCACCATTTATTTAATGATACATATTTATAGATATTTATATGTTCTTTCTCCTCTTCTCCGCTCTCTCCCTCTCGTTTTCAATAACTCATGTCATTTATCTTTCTTTGTACGAAAGTACAGTACAACTATTATTTATTTCAACTATCTTTTATTTAATTTATTATCCAAAAATGATTTTTTAATGTACTGTTTCTTGATTTATTTGCAAGTTACAGTTACATTTAAATCTTTTATCATTTCAATAAATTATCATCATTTTTATCTTGTTTTCGATCGAAGAATTGATAAAATTTGTATATTATGTAACTCATAAAAATTAATTAAAATTTAATTAAATTAATTAATAATTAGGAGTTTCAATTTTCCTATAATCTTCTAAATCTTTTGAAAAATTAATTTTAAATTATTTTTAATTAAATTATTATACGTTTAAGTCATTTTAATATGGATTAAAATTTATCATATCAGACAAAAGTTTATGATAATTTTAACATTCTCGCTTCTCTTATGTTTAGTATTTTTTAAAAGTAATTAAATAGGAATTAATTAATCTTATTCAAGTAATTTTTAAAGAATTTTTAAAAGGTTTAACATCTTAAAAATTCTAGAAAAAAAAAAAACTAAATAAATATTTTTGTTCTTAAATAAGATGTCTTTTGAATTAAATTTAATTATTGCTATTCTGTTTCTAAATTCTTGTTTATATGTTAATTTTTTATTTAGTTGTAATTTTGTACCAATTGTAAACAAGATTTTATTGTTTTTAAAAAAGAAAATTGAAATTTTTTTTTAGAAATGTCATTTGTAAAATTGAAGAAATTTGTGTTATAAAATAGCAGAATTTTCTTGAGTTAAAATTGTTTTGGAGAATGTGAATGAACTCTATAATGAGGAATTTATATTTATGCATTTGAAAAAGATTAAAAATTTATTGAATTTACAAAATTCCATTCAAGAAAGAAACTGAAAAATAATAAAGAGAAAATAAAGGAATGTTTTTAAAGAGAAAAAAACTATTTTAAAAATTCGAAAGTAAAGAGTATATAACAAATATATAAGAATTACACATTGAAAAGAATTTTTAACAAATTTTAAAATTCATTAAATTCAATTAAATTTACGTTATAAAAAAAAGTCTTAAAATATTTGAATAAATTTGAAATATTTATCCGAATGTTTTATATACTATTTTATTATTTTTTAATATATTTTTAAGTTTAAAAATAAAAAAAATAAATAATTAATATGCCCAATTATATTGAAATATTTCGTGTGTGGTTAGGAAATTTTTATATTTATTGATAGGCGTTTGTCTCTGCGTGAAAATTGCCATTTTCTTTCAAAAACCATTAAGATATTTTCAAATTTTTTTTGATCTGGTTAGAGAAGAACATCCGAAGTAATTTATGGTTGTTTTCTCGTGTGAAAGATTCTCACAAATAACATCCGTTCTCCTTTTTCGACCAAATATCGATACCTTTCTGCTGTGATTCTAAATCTCTATAGAGTTTTTTTCTTTTTTTTCTTCAAGTTGTGAACTTAATAAAAGTATCTTTTCCATCCTTTTGATAGAGAAGTAAAATATTTACTTTATTTTTCATTAAAACTCTTCCTTCAATCAGATCATCAATTTTAACAGTTAAAATTTAAATTAAAAAAAATGCAATTTAAATAAGAAAACCAGTGATTTTATTGAATAATTATAAAAGTTTTGCTTTTATAAAACGAAATAATGATTAAGATTAGATTTTCCGCGTAATTAATTCATTTCCCCTATGTTTCGGCTTCACTGTCAATAAATTATACATGCAGGAAAGAAAGCTTTACAGGCGCAATTGATGTTTGCTAGCGTTTTATTGGCAGATATATAAATTATTTTATCCGTGCTTATATTGAGAAATATACGTTTCATTCCAGTAATTCCTAACAACTATTTCTGTTATTAGATTATTGATGTCAGTGATAATCAAGAGTAACTCTCGATAAGCATAATTTCATGTTTGTAATCCTCAGAGAACATAATTTGTTTATGGTATTATCTTTTGCTTATTGGATGATAAATAATTATGCCTTCATTAACGTGGTTCTGGGAATTAAATTCTCAATTTATATCAATATTAATGAAAATATAAATATATTTTAATATTTCAATACTATAGTTAATTATTTTTTAGAGCTTCTATGGCAGATTTAATATATTAAAATGATTAAAAAGTCTGTTAAATTTTCATGAAATAGAGTGTGCCTTGAAGAAAAGAAAAGAAAACTGTTAATTACTAACAATCATTTATAATTATTAAAAGACACAAATTATAGTAATTGACTGTACAAAATTACAGATTTACTTCGCATACATAAAAATTATTTCGAAAAAACCTTTAAAATATTGTATTTATCTAATCTAATTTATTAAAGATATTCTTAAAGATGAAAAAAGATTTGATGCAGAGTTTGTTTTTAATTTTATAAGAATTTATCTTGAGCTCATCTATATAAATTATACTTATTTACAATTATCCAAAAAAATTGCTTATAAATTACTTTAATAAGTATTTTATTTTTAACAACCGAAGAATGATGTTTTTTTTACAAATTCCATTTTTTAAGTTATATTTCATTAAAATGAAAACGATTAATTAATTTATTTAGAAAAATAGCTTTAAAGCAAATTTACATTGCTTTATTGATTTATTAAACAGGAAAAAGAAGATAATTAATAAGATTTAAAATTAGATAAATTTTCATATATATATATGTATATATTCTCTACTACATTTTCTCTTTAGCAAATATTTTAATATTCTTTGCATTTTCGTAATTTTTTTTTCTAAAATTCAATTAAGGTTGCAGTAGTTCCGTAACTAATTAATTTGCATTAACAGTCAGAAAATGTTAGAGCGCAGGTTTCATTGCCTCATTTGTAAGTTAGAAGAGTGTTAAGTTGCAGCATACATCATACTTTATTAACATAGTAAAGCAAATTAAAGTAGAAGATAAGGAAATGCTGCTCGAATTATAGGTTAAGTTTATTGTAATTAATTATAAACTCGTTAAAAGATATCAGAATTTTGTGCATTAACCAAAAGGTTGCAATTTTCTACCAAGTAAGAATGTGAGATACGATATCTCGTAATAAACAAGTGGTTTAGCAGTCGACAGAATGGTGGTGACACCCGAAAACTAACCAGATGTCGTAGGTAATCTGTGCAGTTTGGCATAGATCCAAACTGATTATATCCTTCTATCTTCTAGAACATTAACCTGAAACCAATTTACATAATCTTTATCATCTAACTTAGTCCTTTCATAAACTTCTTACAATAACGAATGGATGAAAAATAGATCAAAATATATATCCGTTTTCTAGTTTTAACACAGAATAGCAATTTATTTTCCATACCGAATTAACTAAAGACGTAGAATATTAATGAATAATAAAAGCAAAAGGAATAGAGAGGAAGAAAAAAAAAGAAGGTATGCACATAAAAATGGAAATCGTCTCTCTGAAGATTAATAAAATTTTCATTTAAATCAATTCGTTTTCCATTAAAAATGATTAAAGAGCGTGATATATAATAGAAGAGATACGTATACAGTATCGTATATATCATTCCAGAATCCAGACTTCAGGAAAAAAAAAATGTTTTCATTTTCCATAAAATATCAGCAAACACCTTCAAATTGAAAATGCTGACAGCGTACATACGATCGTTCATTTTTAGAATTCTTTGCTGATACAACGAGAAATAACCATCTCGTCGGGGGTATCATCTCATATTTTATTTAAAAGCAACGATTATTTGATATAAATTTAAAAAAAAAAAAGTTGTAAAAATTTATAAATATTCTGAGTAACATCAATCGATATATCAATATTACCACATACCTGTACCATCGGATTGTATAGGTAAAATCGTTACAATGCCTATCCTCGAGACATCAAGCAGAATTGAATGAACATTTTTTACTTGTTTACCAATTTTGTGAAATACTTTAACTACAATTTATTTTTTCTCATTTGTTTTGAAAATCATTTTAAATATTTATATTCTTTTTTCAAAAATAACTTAGTGTTAGATAGTCGTAACGACGATTAAAACTCTCGTAAATTTTTAAATTGATTTGGAGAAAATAATAGCGTTATAAATTATTTAATATGCTATTTTTCCAAATTAAATGATTTATTTATCAAAAATTAATTAATTTGAATTTATAAATAATGATTTTAAAGTTTTCTTTAGTAATTTTAAGAAGTTTTTGCAAGTTTTAGTCAATATTTGTCGTTTCTATTCGATAAAATTCTATAAAAAATAAGTTTTCTATTGAATTTTAAACATAAAAAACTAGTTGAAAAAACTATTTTTTTACTCTTAAAAATGTTTTGAAATGTTTTTACAGTATAGTTTTATTTTTTTAGCTACTAAAAAACACTTACAAAAATAGTTTTTTTTAACTGTTTTTTCTAGTAGCAGTTTTTATTGACTATTTTCCTGCTTCCAGTCAGTTAAAAAAATAAAAATGCTGACTAAAACTAGTAAATAACAACTTCTAGATAGTATTTGCTGATTTCTTCTTTAATAGTTTCTCTTTCTTCTCGATTCCTGTTAGTTAAATTTTAAAAATATCACCAGAAATTAGTGATTATTTTATTTAAAAAAATCTAGAGCGTAGAATATCTTAGCGATTTAATCGCTAAATGCGTGAAACGAACTTAAATTATTAAAATATTTATTGAAAAAAACTACAAATGGACTACGTTAATATGAATATTGATTTTAAATTTTTTTTCTTGACATAAAAAACCTTTACCTTATATATTTTGATTGCTCTTTTTTATCTTTGTTTGAACCTATTCGTTCCTCGCCTTCAGCTATTATGGGCTTCGCTACACTTTGTATTGTTAATGGCGAATTACGACTTAATCTGACAACTCTCTTTAATTCACCATTCTAACAAACGATCTTCTATTATAAAAATCGTTTTCTTTTCTAAATGGAAATTCGGCGGAACTTACGATAAGAAGATGTCATTTTTTATACCCGTTTCCTCATTTAAAAAAATTTTTTTTATTCTTTCAGGGGCGGAATTCCATCTAGGTTATGCACTACTTGTTTTCCTTTGTGCCTCTTCTTATTAGTTACTGCTTGTGTGGCAGCTTCAGGTACATTGGTATGGCTTCATCTCGGTTTAAGAGAAGATATGGACAGATTTCGCATCAATCTACAGAAAGGTATGGCTTCTACCTATATATATTTAACAAATATCTAGTTTTTAAATACTGATAAGAATAAACGATGATCATTTTTCTTGTTCTTTTTTTTCTGTTTTTAGTCGAAGCTGAAGGCGAAGGAACACCAGAAACTCTTCATTCCATCCACTCTCATTTGAAATCTTTACACACAGACATCACTTTTCTCGAGAACAAATTTGTAAAAGCAACATCAGACATAGCTAGCATCACTCAAGAGGTAAGCCGTTATATCCTTTGAAGATATATAAAATGGGATAAAAAAATACTCCTTTTTTATAAGATTTCTAAATTTATTAAAGATAAAAAGATCGTTTGAGAAGAATTCTTTCATATCTATCGCATAACGGACTTTATTACTCCATTTTTTTTATAAATGGATGTTTAGTTTCATCAGATATAAATCTTCTTAGATTTAATATAAAAATAGAGTCTATCGTCTTTAAAACGAAATTTATGTTACACATAATTAAATTTAAATAATGTATAGGCTTATCTGTACAGTACATGAAGCAACATTTTTGGATAATTATTCAAATTATAACTCTAAAATTCAATATCTTTTATAATTATCACGTAAATTTATTTGTTGCGATCTTACATAAATTATATCTTAAATGCCGTAATTAAATAAAATAATATAGGAATAAAATTAAATATAAATATCCATTTATAAATATAAGCGGTCCTCTGTGATATATTGAGATAAAAAGCGAAAAAACTCTCAATAATGACAGAGAAATCGATAAAGTTTTTCTGTAAATTTCGAAATTTGAATCAAAATTTGGTCAATTTATTTTATTATTAATGAATAAAACGTCTTCAGTAATCAGATGAAATAAAATAAATTCAAATTTCGATTAAATTAATCAAAATTTATTCGTTAAACAAGTTACAATTGCTTACAGTTTACAAATCAAAACTTCTTACATTTACGATGAATTTCATTAATATTTTACTTGCTGCAAATCTCTAAAACTAGCTATTTTTATCTTCTTAATATATTTTTTGGGATTTTTTAAATACATTTTTAAACATCAGTTAAACAAACATTTTTTGTATAAAAATTCCATTATAGATTGATCGTTTGAAAGAAACAGCAAATAATTTAAAAGCAAGCGTTGCTGCAGCTCCAGAAATTCAAACTCTACCCAAAAATGTCGAATCTCTAACAGAAGTAAGTTGAAATATTTTATGTATTTTTTTTTATAAGTTTTCATCTAGAGAAAAGAAAAAAGGATGAAGAGTAGTTTTTGAATGATATATATATATGCAATATTTGCAGAGTATAGCAAATATTGGTAGTAAAATCACCGCTCTAGAAACAACTACAAAGGATTTGAAGAGTGACTATTCCGGTTTGAAAAAATCAACAGAAATTCTAAACAGCCAAATGGAAGTTGTCAAGGTAACTTTATTTATTATTAAATAAAAAGTTTAACAGAGTCATTCTGTAATTTAAAAAAAATAATAATAAAATAAATTTATTTCATGATATTTGACTTAATCTTGTAGACTATAGTAAAAACCTATTTAAAATGAAACCGTCTAGAATTTTCCGTTTTGGCAGGTTTCCGTTTAATGGAGGTTTATGTTTGCATTAATTAACTTTTTCTAGAAAATTAGAGAGAAGCGAGGGTGTTATATTTTCATGGCTATTCTCCAGACAATGTAAGTACGACATTAACGACAAAGGGGGAAAATGATAGATTGTATTGCACGATAATCACTGAGAAGTCGATGATCGAAGCTGCAAGTTACTCAGCATTAAATTCTAAATCATGAACAGTGCCGTTGAAAGGTGAAACTAGTGATTTTCCCCGGATCCGAAAAACTTAGGAGCCTGTAATGATTCCTATCCCTAAAAATTAATATTATTTTTTAACCAAAAAAAAAAATCTAAAAGAATGCTATGTATTAAGGGAGCCCGTTTTACCCTAGACTCCAAACCAAGTTACCAAGCTTTCGATAGCCCTGATCATAAAACTTAACATTTAATTGCTGTTATGCCGAAAACTTCCGCTTTACTCAGTTTATGTTATACATTTGGTTCCCTGAAAAGCTTAGTTGCCATGTTAGACAGGTTTCCAGCTTATAATAGTAGTTTACTTAGCAAATCGTTCTATCCACTAATTTATTTTCCATTTAGACAAATTTCCGTTTTAGACAGGTTTTATTGTATATACATTTTAAAATAAAATTATATTCTGTTTTTACTTTTCTTTCTAGGCAAAGTTGGATGAAGTTAAAGCTAAACAGCAATTAGCTGTGGTTGCAACTGTTAAGGATGAGAATCAAGAAACTGTTTCTCATTTACAGAAAGTAAATTCATCTTTATTTATTTAGTTAATTTTTAATTAAAAAAATCATTTTTATTAATTTTTTTAATATTAAAGATTTAATTTTAGGAAAATTTTAAAATAATAATAAT